TTCTTCAAGCGGAGATCTAGCTCTTACGGAATCCTTTAATATCCTCACAATCTGACTTCGAGTCTCCGAGGATTCCCATCTTCCCAGACACGGCTACAATTGCCAGATTAAAATCGTTTAAACTCAACTAGCGTCAGAAGTTCCGTACACTACTTTAAACTAATAACATACAAGTCCTACTACTTCATATTTCATATGTCATTAAAAAGTAAATTAGATTTTACAGTATACTAGTTTGTAGCTTATTTTCATAAGATTGCCTTGCTGTTACATTTTACTGAATGAAAATAATTTAAAAATAAAAATAAAAACCCTGTTACTTCCTTATGATTTTTATTTTATTTCTATTTTTTTTATTGAAAATAAAGATTAAGGAGTCGAATTCAACAGTCGTTGAATACTGTTTTTCGAGTCTCATCGATGGAGTTTCTTATATAATTTCAATTCGTTTATTTAGCAATTTTTCTTACAATAAAAATCTCAAAAAAACGTTTAGGAGAATCAATAAAAATTTCATATATTCCATATTTTAAACCAAAAAAAATCACTATTCTCTATCAAAAAATTCTCTATATATTATCCTTTTCCTCATACTCATGATTTTGTTCTTTTTAAAAATTTTCATTTTCTTGATGGATTTTCATATTGAATTGTTTTCTCTTTTATTTATTAAAATTTTTCGATATACATTTTTTTGCATTCAAAGCGTTTAAGAACTTCAAAAGGTAAATAGTTAAGAGGACTTTCATATTATTCGATATTTTTATCCAAAGAATAGTTATTTATTGGCCATTTTTACTCTCCGTAATGGAAATATAGTTCTTTTTTTTTAGCAAATAAAGTTGTTTGCATTAAAATAAGTTGTAAGCTTTAAGACTTAAAAAGTTAATAGAACTTTGATATTATTCAATACTTTCATATAAAAATTCTTTATTTATTATACGTTACTTTATTTATACAGTTTTTTTTAATTAGAAAATAAATATTGAACATAACGTATCCTCATTTTACACGGTATGTTTTTGCTTTAACACGGTTAAAAAAATAAATGTTAAAAATAAACTGGCTCAATTGGAACAATCTTTTACCTTTCAATATTTTGCTTTGATTAAAAAAAAAATGCTAAAAAATTCATAATTAATAAACAAGGAAAATATGCGTTTTTTACATACTTTTGGATTTATACGATGAAATTCAGATAAATTCAATAGAGTATTGGTATTTAAAAAAAAACACAATGAAATAATAGATATTCCTATATTTTGTGTATGAAACTACACGGATTTCAATCGGAACAAGATGAAAGGGAATTGTTTGATACCGCGTTTTATATGGCACAGTTAAAAACAGGACATATTTGAAAAATTTTGTTTCACTATTGTTTCGAATATTTGCAGAATTGTTCGGATTATAACAAAATTCCATTAAATTATAAAAAATAAAAAACAACAGTTTGTTAATAAAAATTAATTAAGTATGAGCAATTATGAAATTTTACATAAATTAGAAAAAAATGAAAGATAATAATATTTATTTACAAAAATAATCAAAGAATAAAAAACAATTTAATTTGAATATTATTTTTATAAAGTTTATGATTAAACCTTATTGAACCCATAAAAAGACTATGTAAATAATTGGAAAATGGATATTTTTAAATTTCAATATATAAATAATAATTATTCGTTACACAATACTTTCAAAGTGATTTCATCTTATGTTCAATGTTTCACAATTAATCTTCTATCATTTTTTTGAGGATAAAATGTATTCAAAAAGAAATCCTATATTTCTTTTTGGATAAATAGGAAGGTCGAGATGAAGAGAAAAATGTTGATTTTAATCATAATTATTGATAATAAAACATAGTTGTATATTCTTTTTGTTAATTTATTGAACACATCATAAACTATGTAAATCATAGAGAAATGGAATTGAAATGTAATTTTTACAATATATAAGTAATCATTTATTTAATAGTCATAGAATGCTTTAATAATGATTTCATCTTTTGTTGAATATTCCACAATTAATCTTGACTCTTTTTTTTAAGATAAAACGTATTGTAAAAGAAACATTTTTTTGTATATCCTTCTTCAGATAAATAGGAAGGTCGCATAACTGTAGCAATTTGAAAGGAATAAGAGAATGGAGACGAAGAGAAAAAGGTCGATTTTAATCAAAATGCAATGCCGCTACGACGGAAAAGAAGAAGTAATGAAGATCAAGGGTATGCTCAGAGGAACAAATATTTCCCCGAATGAGGTTCTAACATGTTGAAAGGGATACACAAAAAAAGCATTAGTGGTGGTGGATATGGATGGGCGGCAATATTGCTGGAGATTGGAATGGAATTCACCAGTTCCAAATGAATTATATAAGACCATTTCAAAAAACATAGAAGAAAAGAGAAGAAAAAAACGTATAGAGTAGATGGCAAATTGTGAAGAAAATCTTATTTAGTTGTTAAATTTTTGAAGCTACAACGATTTGTTTTCAAATGAAATAGTTTATTATAATTAATTAAAGTAGTAACTTTTTGTAAGTAAAATATAAGATTTCGAATTTTTTTTTTTTTCATATGAAATTATTTATTTTCAATATATTTTGTCCATTTAACATAATTTATAGTAAATTCTTTAATTCTATTTTTTCAGACGATTTTATTGAACTCTTACTTTTTTTTTGCATGAATTGTCAGTACAAAATGGGAATTTAATCAATATTTGTGGAAAAAGATTGATGCGATTAGTGCTGTGTTCAAATAATGGTGCCTTTACGTGGGTGCGTTTTAATTGTACTGCGGTCTCTCTTTCATCAATCAGACGTTTCATTGCATCGAATAAATGTTCAGCAGTGATAAACTTTTGACGTGGCAACAACGTCCATTGAAATACGGCGCGCAATTCAAATTGGATTCCGCTTTCGATTGAAACATATTCACAGTAATCTGTGTGCTCGGTATTCTGTCACACTTTGTCTGATTTTCCAATAAATTTATCAAAAATTTCCATAAATCGAATATTTAAAGATAATTACTAGAAAATTTATTAATTCATAAAAAACGACTAAATTTTAATTAATTGCTAAATTTCTATTATTTTTATATGAAAAAATAAACAACTAACTTGAAATTAAAAAAAAACATCTAACGCACTAAAAAACTTTCGATTAAGAGTTTTTTATGTTTATTTTTGTATGTTGAACTGTTTCTATAAATATTAATACACATAACTTACACATTTACAATATTTGCATAAGTTTTACTATCATTAATTGTAAATATAATTATGAGATAACATTTATTCAAATTACAAATTTTATTTTTAATCGTATGTTAAAGAGTTTCATTAAATATTTAAATTAGAGATGCGGGCGCACTCTTATACAAGACGTTGCTTATTACATGAAGTGTGTACGTACCAGAAAAGCTTCATAGAAATTAATTCGAAAGTGATATGACAAAAGTTAGAAAATTTCAAAGAAAATAGACTTAAATCTTTAGAATTTGAAAATTTATTAATAAAGTATAAAAAAAAATTAAAAAATTATTTTCCTCGTAATATTAATTACATTTTTTTAGGAAAGCGTTTGTAATTTTGTGAATTGCTTAGGGATGTAGGATAAGATAAAATTGTTGGTATATATAAATCACCTAAAGAATACGTCTTGTGGCTTTAAATAATCTTTCCTTTGAATGGAGCTGCAATCAATAGATTGCATAAAGGACCATGAGACTATAGTGTATCTATTAAAGCGACCGTCATTAATACCTTGTTCCAGACTGAACATTTATTATTGACTACAAAAGCCCAGCTTCCGCAGGGAACATTTTATAGTTATAATAAGTAGCTTATTACTATACATTAAATTATTAAAAGTTCATTTTTTATATAATAAAAGTTCAAAAAATTTACTATAAATATTACTTATAAATGCTGCTTTATCCTTTGTTTAAATATTGTAAATATCAATAAATAAATGTAAAAATGAATTATTTTTTTTGCTATACTTTCAGAATAAATTAAAGATTATAAAAATGTTTTTATTTCTTCAGGGATTTAGAATTAAAAATTTTGTACTGTAATAGTAATAAAGTTTTAATGTTTTTTTTTTTAATATGAAATATTCCTATATAATTTTGTTTAATTACAAATTAATGCTTAATTAATACTGTCAAATTCGTTTATCGATAATTTAAATTTAAAGTAATTATTTAATTGGAACTTAAAATTTCTCAGAATTAGTGTTAATTTTACAAACTTGCGTTAGTATGTGATGTGAAAGTGATATGTCAAAACACTGTCAAATGCAATTCTCGATAATTTAACTTTAAAGAAAGAATTTAAAAGATTATAAAACTTAATCACTTGGATGTTAAAATTTCAAAGAATTAGAGTTAATTTAAAAAGCTAATGTTCGTATGTGTTGTAACAGTCATATCTCATAAGATAACTGTCAATAACTAAACTTTATAAAAAGTTTCTATTTTTTTTTATTTTTTATGAAAATGACTAGGAAATATCATGAATTTATGTTAATTTGAAAATTTGTATCACTTTTCATATATAGCGTGGACGCACTATATACGAAAAGTAACATAAACATCAGTCATATTTGATTATGATGAACTATTAAGTATAATTAATGACGTAAAGTGCTGCCATCTATATTTACTAGTTTCAATTAAGGAGAAGTCAAAGGTAATTCATATAAAAAAAAACATGAAATAAACTAGAATTTTTAAATTAAAGTAAGGAGGTAAGGTTTATAGTAAAGAGAAGCGAAAGGTAATTAAGACTCATAAAAATTATGAAGAAAAAACTAGAATTTTGAGAATAATTCGGGGGTATTTAAAATAATATTGATCAAATTATTATATAAGTACATGAAAAGAGACAACAAAATTTGTCATATTTGACTATAATGAATCAAATGATCAAATTATTGGATAATTTTTGTTACTAATCTACATACTAATTACTTCCTTATAAACTTACCAACAAAAACAATCTTTTAAATATCTTAATTTAACTTAATCCAACTGTCAAAGATGATCTGCTCCTAACACTATCCTCTGCTAACTGCAAACATCTCACTCTGAAAGAACATAAAACAAAGTACAATTAAAATCTCATTTTGCTTAATAAAAAAAAATATAGAAATGATGACGATCATCAAAGGAATATATGAGCGTAGGCTTGGCTTTGCATACATGTAAAGATCATAAAATAAGTTGGAACTGTTGCAAATGACAATGTAATCTCCAAGCTTACGGACTTTACGACGACCATTAAAGCCCACAATTCATGCGAACTTTCTTAATGAATAGGTAACATTAAAACAACACTTCTTCATTTTTTTAATGACGATAAAAAAAACTGTAAAGGAAAACACTTTACAAGTAAATAATGTTTCCTCAAATCAAGTGCAACAAACGTAAAGTTTATTATTTTAAACCACAGTTTACATTTTTCACATACACTTATACATTATTTGTTAAGAGATGGCAGTAATGTCGATTTTTAGTAATTTTTAAATTGTTTAACTTTCTTGTGAAGAAAATGAAACTTAAAATAATCGAACTTAATAAAGTTTATTTATTTTTAATATAAACATTTATATTACCTAAAAAAATCAAATTAAAGACATATTTACTTATAACTTTTTTTAAACTAACATTAATTATTACTAGATTTAAAAATATTTGACAGAATGACATCAAAGCAATTAACTTTCATGAAAATATCCATTTTACAGTGGCTTTATGAAACAACATATTATAGTGGAACTACAAATTCGTTTCCTGATTTTATGTTTTCGTTCAATTTACCGTGGTCGGAATAGTAAAACATCAATATAATTAACGAACACAAATCTAGTGAAGCGCGCATTTGCACTACATTAAACACCAAAAACGACTGAAAACAAAAAAAAAACAACTACATGAAAAAAAATCTAATAAAAAAAATAATGCATTACGAAAATCAGGTTAATAGATAAATACAAATTCGTAATAATTTTGGATTAATTAAAATTAATAATTGGAATTATAACATTAAAAAAATATTCGTAAATAAAAAAAATATTAATCAATTGGTGGACAATTTTCATTAAGATGAAAAAATTACTAGAAAAAAAAAATCTAAACATAATCAAATACATCGTTATATTAACGACAACAATTGAGGATTAATTAAAATTACTAATTGGAATTATATCATATTCATAAATAAAAAGAATGTTCATACATTACAGAACAATTTTCATTAAGATGAAAAGGGTATCAATCGAGGGACATTAGGTATTGGAATAGGGATAATGTAAGGTATTTAAATTTGGGAAGGATATTTGGGTTTCGAGGGGCACAGAATTTAGAGAGGAAGGCAATGTTGGACTGTTTGGATTTAAATTTCAAGGATAGGGAAAGGTATCGGTCGAGGAACTATTTTTTTGTTTTGGAGTAAAGGAGATCATTAGTAGGATTGTGTAGAGGATTATTAGGATGTCGTATTTTGGTGAGGATGCGAAGGGTGGAACGTTCGGATACGGACAGGTTTTTTAGGACAAGATTTCGACTTTGGGAAACTGTAGTCAAGGATAGGACGACATATGAATTTATAAATGGATATTTGGCACTGTATGGATATTTCGGAGTTACGGAAGGTTAAGGGACGGAAATGACGGGATCTGGATTGAATTTTGGATTTGAGTTGGTTGGAATGGGAATTGTGGTTGAGTTTATGATCAAGAAGGATTCTAAGGTATTTGGTGATGGGAAAATGGAATAATTATTTAACGTAACATGGGGAGACGAATCGGATATGCAATGGTAGAGAATAAGGAGTTTGGTATTAGATGGGTTAATTTTGAGGCGCCAGTTTTTAAACCATAAAATGGTTGAGGATAAGAGGTTTTGAAGATTAAGAATAGAGGATTGAAGGAAAGAGGCGTGGGAAACCAATGTAGTGTCATCAGCGTATTGGAGGTTATAGAGGTTGGAATCGAAGGTATAGGATCGGGGCTATACATATGACAACAAAAAAAGGTTATATAACAGAAGAAGGGGTACCTTGCGGGACACCCTGAAGCGGGGAAAAGGAACTGGAGAAGGAGTTGCGGATCTTAACTTTAAGGGAACGATTATTAAGGAGGTTACATTAAGGTAAAAAAATACTACAAACATGTAGAATAATTAAATTAAATTAAAAAATCAAAAAAGTATTTCAAAACTTCTAAAAAATTGCAATAATTTCAGCTTAATCAGAATAAATATTTCGAATTATATCATGAAAAATATACATAAGTAAATGGAAAATAAAAATAAACAAAAAAAATACAAATTATATACATCCTGAAAATCCGATAATAATTTCGGTTTAATTCCAATGAATTAGATTGGAATTAGAATTAGATCATAAAAAAATGAAATATGAAAAACAAATATGAGATTTATATCAATTCAATGTCCAATGTACGAAATTCCATGCTATTATTGTAATAATGAACAAAATTGAAGTGAATGTGAAAAAAAAATAAATTGAACAAACAAAAATGAACGTGTAATATAGTCTGCCGGATGTGACGTTTACTAACACGAGCTTTTGCCTAAACTCGAATGTCATTCAATGACAGCTCGCTTTGATATGAAACGCATTGGAATATTCATACGGTATTTCGCGTTTTATGTTTGCTATTCAATAATAGTGCTGCGTTTGAATGTTACTTTCGGTTTGTTAATTTTATTAAATGTGAAATACTCGTATTTGCAGTTTATTTTGTGAAATGCAGCAAATTTAGAAGGGGTATATATTGGATTCTAGATAGGGAATTGGAAATACTCCTTGAACATTGGCAATATGCAATCATTGAGCAGATGGTGTAATCCACGTGCAATACAATTGCCTTGTCAAGAGGTGCATCTACGGCACAATACAATAGGTCACGAAAACGTAATTAGATGTTGAAATGTCAGAGGAAAAATGAATATCGTATGGATATAGATGCATAAAGTAACTCGTATAGTGCGGATTCACTAAAGTACGGTTTGAAAATTTCAAAAGAAACAAAATTTTTATTGATCGAATTCTCAATAATTAGTATATTTATACATGTATGTAGTTTTATCGACCTCAATTAGTGAGGTTTCAAACAGTGCAATTCTTTAGTTTATTTAAGATTTAGATTTTCGATTATTTATTTAGATTATATTAGAAATTGTAATTGATATTTTATATAGTTTTATTGGTCATAACAATATAAACATAAGTAGCAGCAGAAAGTAACTATAAAAGTAACAGGTGGAATTATAGCCGTCATAAAGATAAGTTTTAATATATAACAAAAAATAAGCAACAGTTGATCTTCTGTATATCAAAATATGTAAACTATAAAATTTCGAGTATTAAATAAAAAATATCTTATAGAAACACTATATTAATTATTCGTACAGCTTCTAATAATATCTAAAGTAAAATATGAACAAATTGTATATAATTAAATCTGTAAATGATCTTGTGTGCGTATTATACTCGAGTAAAAAATGTAATATTTGAACATTGATTTTTTTTGTATAAGATTCTTAATACACACAATTTGTATAAAATTTATAATGTAAAAGGTTCTGTGAGTATTATACTCTAGAAGAAAAATGTAATTTTTCAACATTAATATTTTGGACAGCGTTTATTGTATACTTTTAAATCTGCAAAAAAGTGTACTATATTGTTCTGTATAAAAAAGAAATTTGTACTTTTACGTCTATAATACGCACTATTTGTAAAATTTAAAATAAGTGCAGTGCGTATTCTACTAGTGTATTTTTCAAACATATTAAACACAATTTGTATATAATTTAATTTGTAATACAATGAAGTGCGTATTATACTTGAGTAAAAAAAATAATTTTCAATATTGATATTTAGAAAACGTAATATCTCATGTATAATACGCACATATTTGTAAAAATTTTAAAGTGTAAAATAAGTGCGTATTATACTCGCGTAAGAAGTGTATTTTTCAAATATATTTAACACAATTCGTGTATAATTGAAACTGTAAAAGAAATGGTGTGCGTATTATAGTTGAGTAAAGAATATACTTTTTAATATTGATAATTCATACAGTATGTAAAACACATTATTTGTAATAATATTTCGTGTATAATACGCACAATTTGTATACGTTTTAAATAGTAATGAACCTAGACTGCGTATTAAACGTTTTGATAAGAAATGTGTTATATAATTTAAAAATAAAAAATTGCTGGTGCGTATTTTATGCGAATTTTTCATTTCTTAATAAATTCACTCTAAAAAAGCATGTGCCCTACGTAGCAATTTTTTTTTGAAATGAAGTAAAGTATATTAAATATAGTAGAGCATGTATGTATTTTTTCTACATTTTTATTGTTGTAGCTTTTGCTACTGTACTAAAATTTCATTAGTTTCACGATTCTGGAGACGAGAATGATTGGCAGAAAGCCAGTGAGTGATATTATTGAGTCAGCAAATACAAAGTTATTACATCCCATTATGTGCACTCACGTATTATTGACGCAACATGCTTTGATAATTTTGTGGCAAATCATAATATTGAAACAATAATTCCTAAATTATGTATAAAATCATACAAAAACATAATTCAAAGTCAAGGAAAATTGATATTTTTGAACTTAAGTATTATTACATTATACAAGTTTATTTTTAATTAATATAGTATAAATTGGATCATTTTTTTTCAGTCATTTGGCATAAATTAGGACCAGTAAAAGACATTTTACAAAAATAATATTATTATTTAACAATATTGCTTCAATAATTATGAAATAACTACTTAAAAAAACCTTTGATACGGAAAAAAATTGCAAATTTTTAAATCAAAAAATGTTGCTATAAATGTTATAACATTTTAATTTTCTGACATTAATTTTAACTAAACTGGGCATAAAAACAAAGTTAAAAGATCAACATTACGAAGGAAGTTTGTAGGTCTACTTTATGAGTGTTTTATGTTACAGTTTTACGATAATCTTGTAACTGTTCAAACTAATTTCACGCCTACTAAGTTTACGAATTGAGTGGGGTCGAATACTAATTGGT